AAACAGTTGCTTCACATTTTGGTATTTTTATTTAATAAAGAGTTATGTAATTTTGTAGCAATACTTGTTTACTTATGTAGATATACAAAGTGACAGTATATATTTGGATCTATTCAAGACTCAGATTTGTTTGAATTTAGTTATGTCTCAAACTGGCTAATTAATGCCTAGAGATTCATATGGCAGAATTCTAATACTCTTGATATTTTATGTTGATTAGTGAGTGTCAGGTGTGTTGCTTATCAAGGTCAGAAGTTCAAACCTACAAGCTGCTCCCTGGGAACCCTATACATAGTCATTATGAGTCAGAGCCCACTTGATGGCACTTGACAAAAATAACACAAAGTGGGCGTCCAGAGTGTTGCTTACATAAACACTCCATCCTTGTCTTAGTCATCTTCTACACAGCTCCTGTGTCCTGGGTGTAATCTGGACATTTTGTAGACCACTTAACTGTTTGTTAGAACTGTGTTTTGACTTAAGTAATGAAAACAGTTCAGAAAATTTATTTGGACAATTTAATATGACTATAATAGCAAAAAACATTCATTAAGCAGTCACTGTGTACTGATACTTTTAAGTGCTTTATTTCTCATAAATACCTTATTAGATCTGTACTGTTATTGTCCCTGTGTTACAGATGAGGAAACTGTAAAGACTTAGATTGCTTGGCTCTGATAAGGTCACATGGTTAGTAAGTGGCAAAGCTGAGCATTGGACCTGAAGGTCAGTTTGTACCATGAGGTTGGCAGTTCAAACTCACCAGCCACTCCTCAGAAACCTTTACAGGGTTGCTATGAATTAGACCCAACTTGAAGGCTCTGGACAACAACATGCTTTTAATTTTGCTATATTGTCTCCCAGATCACCCAGGAGTTCTTCACATGATTGTTATGTGGTGCTTTCTCCTCTGTCTCTCAGTAGGATATAAGAAGAATACAGTATTTAACCAGGTATAAGCCAGGAGCAAATATTGCCTCCTCGGACATTTCTTCTTAAAAGCCTTTCCAAAACGCCCCCTGCCCCCGATCCCCCACACACTCAATCAAATGCCATTTTCTTCTTGTTCTGTTGAAATTTGTCCCAACTTCAGTTGTAGCAGTTACCAGTGTATTTCACCCATTTAACTATGAGTTCGGAAGTAATTTGTCACTCTTTCTTCCTAATCTATCTTTGTCTGGAAGCTCATCTGAAACATGTCCACCATGGGTGACCCTGCCGATTATTTAAAATACCAGTGGCATAGCCCTCAGAATCACAGCAACTCAATCTGAAATCGATCAAACATGCAATCAAGATGTATTGCTCATTACTGGTGATTGGAATGCAAAGGTTGGGAGCAAAGAGGAAGGTCCAGTAGTTGGAAAATTTGGACTTGGTGATAGAAATAATGCTGGAGAACGAATGATAGATTTCTGCAAGACAAATGATTTGTTTATTTCAAATACCTTCTTTAGACAGCATAAGAGACGACTATAC